ATAAATAAAAATAATATCACTGCGCTTCGCATCATATTTAGAATTAACCAAGATTATACCTGCTTTAATTCCATTAATTCAAGCAATGTACCATGCACACTCGTATGAAGTGTTTTGATGTACTCATTTCAATTAACACTATCTACCATTAATTGTAGTTATTGAATTATATTAAAAAGAGAGATGAGATTAGAAGCTCAGCAAACATGAGGTCTTTGCATCTATTCCAATGGGCATAGAGTGGACTTAATGTTGAGAGATAAATAAAAAATAAAACATTCAAACTTTAATTAGTATGTAATATACAATTCTTTTTATATTTAATATCAATAAAGTTGTACACCAAAATAGAGCTTTTTCTGTGAGTTTCACTATTAAAAAAGTGAACTAGAAATTATCTCCTCCAAATTATTTTTTAGAGAAAATAAGATCTTTGTTTTCTGATAACTGCTGTTAACATCTACCTGAGGACTAAATGAATGCTATATCAAAGTCAACTACTTTAAAACACATTGCTTAACCAAAGAATATCAAATAATTTCAATTTTCAGGTATGGGAGTTCTGATTTTGGAAGTTATCCAAAGAGTTCCAGGCCGCAGCTCAATCTGTAGTGTTGAATGGAAATTATTGAATACCTTATATACCATGTTCACATGAATGGAAAAGTTTCTGCCTGGGATGTTGGAAAACATTTGAAAAGACAGCCACACTCTGGGAGCTGAAATGAATTCTATAAATTTTAGTTGACAAGAACAAGTTGTATGTGGAGATGACCCAGGGAGTAGTGAGTATATATTGAGGCTTTCCAAAGTATTCCCAATTTTCCAACAAGTTCTCACCCTATTAATGATCTTTTCTTCTTTCTTAGGTCAGGTTGTGGGAGATGATGAATTTCTCCTCGTTTTTTTAATCTGTGGCAAGAAGTACGTGGTCTTGGTTGTCAAGACAAACTCCTTTTCCAGTCGAGATCGTGATGCTCTGGGTAACAGATAATGGTAAAATTATCTGGACCATTGATAATGCATGATGAACGATAAATTGATTAATGTATTTCTTCTGTCTAGTTTGAATTTTTATTTTTGCAGGTGAAAAAGGTCATTATTCAACTCGCAAAACAATTGAGGGGAGCAGTCCCATATGTCTAGTGGGAAACAAGTGGTGTTTGTATCAAAGATCAGCACAAATATTTTGTGATTGATGCCACAAAAAGAAACAGGGATTTAAAGAATTAAGTGATTTAAAGTTAAAGTTAAATTAAGACAACATGAACTAGCAATAAGATTTGATAATTCTTTCTGTGCAGGCTCATCACCATGACATGGTTATCAATGTTTTGCGCGAGGCTGGAGACTCACTCTGTAAGTGGAAGTTATGATAAGTTTGTGAAACAATGGGATCTTCAACTCTTCAAATGCCTATCATCTTGTGATACAGGAGAATGTATAAATCGCACTTGCATTGGGAATGGAAAGGGGCAAAGTAATCATGCACGCAGGACCGAATGGTTTTGTGCGAATTGACAACAAATTGAAAAAAATTAATGACTCAGTCCAATATAACAAGGCTTTGAGCTACACAGTTGGAATATAAGAGAAGGGTAATGAGAATACTCTTTGATTTTCTAGTTTTGTGTGGAAATTAATTATACATTCAAAATTCCTTTGGTGAGTGATGGACTTAATGTCTTTGGCTGAAACATTCTATGTATTCAGTATTAACCAATTCTAAACCAGACATCGAACTGAAAAATTTTTAATATACATCTTATGTTTATTTTTAAACGCAAGTTTTATATCCATAATTCTGTCAACAAAAAATTAATGGAAGTTTTTAATAAATTATTTTAAAAAACTTATTTCAATATAAACTATTTAATACATTTATATCCTCGTTCTAGTATCTAACACAGAAGAATAAAATTATAAATCTATCATCCAAATATAGGTAAGTAAAACTCTCTCATGAAAAATGTTCTAATGAAGTAATTTACCTTGCATTTTGATTAAGAACTACATAATTTATGTACGCTTATGATAATGTTTGTAGACATATTGAAAGTACAAGTAACTGAAAGATAAAGGAGAAACAACTATTAGGTTTAATTACTAACATTTTAAAAAGGTGAACACTCGTGTAACAACTATTCTAATTATAAGACATCTTGTAGTAAAATTTGGTTACACATTTAATAACTTTGCAAATAAATCACATCATATGATCTCACTTTGTTCTGCATCAGAAAATAAAACACATTATATAGCTTGGTTGGATTTCATGCAGATCTAATAGAAGATAAACTTTCCGGGCCTGATCACGGCTACTCGGAGCCACAGAAAATTTGGTTCTAGCAACACGAATTAATTATTAAAATCATCAACACTGATTTTAATTTTTGTTATCAACAAAATAAATGGGATTTGGTTGATAAATCATAAACTATATTCTCTCAATGGTTCAGATATTGCGATAGAATCCTCCACCAAATGTTCCACAACATAAGCGGTTCAAAGTTATTGTAAACCTATTAACTTTTTGATAGCTTTTTTTTTAATGATATTGGGCCAAAGTTTTTTTACTGGAACACTATACTTTTTTTAACATTAATAGATAGGTCTTGAAAAGATAAATTTATAAATACTACACACAGTATTCTAATTAATAATTAATGCCCATAGAAAGAGTATGAAATCTGTTCTGATTCATATGAAAAGTAGTATGTATCTTTGCATTTTTCT